GAAGGAGCACTGCAATAGGTTGCTCAGAGTGGTTGTGGAGACGTCTTCTCTGAACATATGAAACTACACATTTGGATTGCCTACCCATGTGACCTATTGTAGGGAACCTGCTTTGGCGGGGGGGTTGGATTTGATGGTCTTGAGGTCCCTTCCAGCTCCTGCAATTCTGTGATTCTGTGGAAGGGAAATCCTTTGCATCTATAAAAATATCCATGGTTCAGCCACATAATCAATATAGCTCATGGTCTTTAGTATCTTCTGAAACTTTACTAATTTGAGTTCACAGTGTTTAATAAATTTAGCACCCTATACTGTTGAGATATGCTCTCACTGCCTGTTATTTCTATTTCATATTAAATGCTCCTTTAGCTCAAATGAATGAAAATAAGTGATCATAAATGAACATGACATTAGATACTTTCAATTTCAGTTACAAGAGAACAAAGTAAGAACATACAAGATGCTACTGAGTTTAGCAAGTAAGCATGGCTATACTGAAACTGCACAAACTATGTAATTAATTAAATACCAGTCAGAAAAATGCAACAGCAGTGAGCTTCAGAGCACTTATGTTCCATCAGGAGGTGACTCACTGAAGAGCAGGAAAGGTTTCCCATTTTGTTACGTGTTTTTGGGGGTGTTTTTTTGTTTGTTTTTATAGGCATCAGGACCTGCCAAAAAATATATTTAGAAGATAACACCTAATTGCTGCAATACCGTACCTACTTTAAGTGTTAAAATTGCATAGACTTTATTTATGATACCATGATAAAGTGGCATTTAGGCACTAAGCAAAGTTACAAGTACCTCCTCTCTTCCCAGTACCAGACATTAACAGATAAATGCAGCCTGCCATACATTCCCCCTCACAACTTGATCCTGTGCTCCTTTAGATTAAATGAGGAACAGAACTGGTGAATGTAATAGATAAAGAAGTTATGGTAAAGCTACAGTAATAAACAGCTTTTTCTTACAGAGAGCACTTTCAGATTAAAAATAAGTATCAAAGCTCTGCATTTGTAAGCTTTACATGGACAATTCAATTTTTTGAAATGCAAAGCTAATAAGAAACCAGGAAAGGGATTTTTGAGTTACTCTTTTCTCATTAAGACTAGTAGGTTTTTTTCCTCACAAATCATTGTTTACATGCCTGAAGATTTTGGAATAGTTTCAGAAGGCATCACTGCCCCATTGAAAACTGTAACTGAGACCAATATTGAGTTCTCAGTAGCAGAACCAGGAATACAAACCCATTGCTGTGACATTAAAGCTAAAGCAAACACATCATTCTGGACAAAGGGATAAAAATCATTTCCTACTGTTGAACAATGCTTCACAGCCAGAAACACATCTAAACTACTGTTCTAGAGATTTAGAGTGCCAGCATCTGGTCACAAAACACCTGAAAGCAATGTACCGATTGACACAGCAGGACTTGCAGTGCATATATGTACCCAGCTCAACCTCCTACTTGCTTGGGCAAGCTGTTTGTTGAAATTTCAATACAGGAGAGTTGTACTGATCACATCATGCATTTATGATTTATGAACTTTTGCAAGGAACTGTCTGTCCTAGCAAGACCAGGCATCAGTGAGCAGAATAGCACGTTCTAAGCCAGATCGCTGGCAAGAAGCTTTCTCACTGCACAAATGCATGATGTGTAATGAAATGTAAGACAAGAAAGTAAGCCAAAGCCAGTGGGTCTGCAGACAGAACAGTTTGTCATCCCATGGAAGTCAGACAAAGCATCATTTGCCTTTTAGATGTTAGCAGCACAAGAAAAATGAGTTCATCCAATAGCTTCTTCTGCTGACAAGGAAACCAAACATAACAGCCATCACTGGGGCTAATGAATTAGAAGAAATTGATAAAATTGACGTTTTATTTTTTTTTAATGTTTTCAATTATCCAACTCATGCTTAACTCTCTTCCTCATAGTAACTCAGTTTCTGAGCAGGTAATTAAGAGAGCACTTCTTTCCAAGTTTAAAGTCCTTGCACAGGATTGAGTGGCAGCACTCCCTGAACTTACCAATCAGCAGGAGTTCAAATTCTCAAAGATTTGGGACATATGTTTTCTACCAAGCTGAAAAGACATATTTAGGGCAAGACTGCAAAAAATTAGAGGATAGTTTGCCTCTCCAAGTACTAGCCAGCACTTCAGAAAACAGAAAGATGAGCAAAAAGGCAGCTAACAACAGAATCTATTCTCACTTCTGGCAGAAGCTATGTGTTAGGCCTTGCTCATTTTGAGCTTCCATTCAAATCAGCTCTGTATTCTATAGACACACAAAACACTCTTGGTGGAACATTTTCAGAAAGGAAAAATTGGGTAAGAGGATGTTTAACTCTATGCTATAGCTTGCTGCATATCCCATATTTTTTCTTCTCCAAAACATCTGCGGACTTTGATACTACCTTTTATTGTTTCATACCAAAATGGGACACACGCTCAATAGATGGAACTGATATGAACTACAACACTCCTGCTGCTTGCACTTTGCTTCCTTAGTCACTCCTACTAGATTTCTTTCAGTGTCTCCACTTCCAACTAGCTTCAGACAACAAAAAAGAAATGGCATGTCCCTACAGATACCCACAGATACATTTTTTCACATGTAGACTTTTTAAAAAGACAAATAGTTTGTGCAGGGCACTTAGATTACCACATCTACCAGCTGCATAGCTTCTAGAGATTTGTTCAGTCTACTTTCAAATTTATGTCAAGAGTAGTGATGGTATTGCTTGTCTTACTTTTCCATCTTTGGTCCGAGAGTTTTCTTTGGCTCCAGTTTCTCTCTCAAGACTTAGCAAAGGGATAAATGCTGTTGGTAACCTAAAACATTTAGCTTGCTTACAAATCTGCAGTGTACAGGTCTTTCCAGTGATCAGTTCCAAAGTTTTTTTACTTGGACATAGTCAGATTCTCAGTGTAGAAAAGAAAGTTCTGTGTCTACACAGAGACAAAGAAAAGCCGTTCACAGTAATTCAGGAAACTAGTAATATAAGCCACTCTTATGGTCAGAAAGAGGTCTAAGGAACAGACATTTCCCCTACTTAATTAACAGTATATTGTTATAGTAATATATAATGCATCTAGTCAGGGATGCTCTGATTAGATTCAGCAGTCCTGGTTTTGTACACTACTTAGACATTGAGGGATAACACTACAGAACAATACTTTTCTCCTGATGAAATACTCAGGAAAACTTCTCTAATCTGGCCACCATTTACTTACTTACACATGCCAACCTCAAAATTGCAGATTCTACTCACTGGGCTCCTTCCTGAGAAGCAACTTTCTGGACCATGTGCTGCGATCCAAAGACATGTGGATCATTAACACAAGCGAGCATCCAGCCACACTATTAATCACTGGCTGGCTCAACACCTGCATTCTGCAGCCCTCACCAAAGAAAGTTTGCAGCTGGCCCAGCTCCGGCTGAGCTTTCTCATACCCACCAACTATCTCCACTCTCCATTTGTCAATTGTAAGTGATAATTTCTATTCAATCTGATACATATTATAAGAATATAAACAAATGCCTCTGGCTGTATCACAGCTGCAATCACTTCACTTTATAGCCATCATTTATTACAGGCGGACAGGTGGCCGTTTGGTGGAATGCCGACGAGGCTATCATCTGGACAATCACCAGGAAACACATTTACATTTTCTCCAAGCAGACAGGGAAAAGAAGCTTGTGGTTTCTGGAAAAACTTTACTATGCTCCAAAATTTCTTCCTTTTCCAACCATGCAAATCACAGGAATACATCTGAATATTGCCAACTTAACTCACTGGTGACAATAATTTACATTTATTTAGAATTTCTGAAAATAGGAGTGTAGTGAATCTTCCCTTATATTTGCTTCCTTTCGTGTCTCACAACTGTGATACAGGATACTTGCTTTTTCTAAATACTGATCATTTTATTTCCCTGGCAGGTGTTTTTAAACACGTAAGTTCTGGGCTTTAAATTTAATGGTTAGCCCAATATACGAGGCTGTCTTATGTGCAGCATGGCCATATTAATAACAAAAGGACACACTAAATCCATCCAAGAGGATTCAGTTTAGATAGATGCAATGATCTAGAAGTAAGGAGGTAGACAATTGCTTACAAGAGATAAAGGGCTTGCTGATGCTACTTTTATGATGGTAGCTTGCGAAGGCTGTCACACTTTGCAAAACTGGGGTCCAATGGCCAATCTGTAGGTTTTGGCTCCATCAGTCAGTTGGTCAGTGAGTGAGATGATACTACCCAAATAGTATTAAATGAAAGCACAGGACTTGTATGCAGAGATTCCTGCTCTGAAGACAGCCAGCAGAGGTTCTGTAGAAGAGTTGCACGTGGAGGTATGCTAAGACTGCACTGCCTGTTGTGTGAAGTAGCATAGCAGGGACATGTGGACGGGGATGCTCTCAACCTATATTCTTCTGGTTAAAAATGCAGAGAAAGCCTTAGACAATAGAAGTGTGTGCAACAAGGCTGCTACACTGACTTTTTAATAAAGTATAGATCCACACTTCCTTAGTCTCAGTGTGAATTTGGATTTTGCAGGAAATAAACAGGGCTGAGGGCAGTGACAACAGGGAATACCCAACAGCAATTAACAAAGAAAGTAACCTAACAATTGAAAGCAACCTTACTGTAATTAACCCAAACTTGACACTGAATAGAAATGAGTGCTGGTAATTAATAAACAGTGAGTGGAATCACCAGCTTCAGTCTCTGCTGATATCTTTGCCTCTCTCTAGGTAGCAAATGTTAGAAACCACCCATTACAACTAAGAACACCATTTTGCAGCTTGATTTCCTTTCCCAGGGTTTTATGAATGACACTTCCCAGATTTAATGTTCCCTTACTCTGGTATTTCAAAACACAGTAAGAATTCATTTCTCGTGACAATTATTTTTTTACATACTGAAAACTGAAAGTTCTTCCCATCTTCCCCCAAATCAGTTACGTTTACATAATTAAAATGCTGTGGAACATACCTGCTTCCTGTGGAAAATTACTATTTTTCACTTGAAAAGAAAAGAACTGCCATGGTGCTTCATAGGAGTGGTTTAAGTCATCATCAAGACTTCTCAGCTGTGCCAGGCAAGATTCATCAATGAAGATTTAATTCACCAGAACTCAGGCCTATTGAGAAAAACAGGGAGAGAAGAATTCAAAAACTGTAAGTATCTAGCAATTCAAATCTACACAGCAATTATTTTGGATTTCATTTTGCATGGAAAATTAAACCTACTCCTCACAGTCACATACTCTTCTACAGCTGTTTCCTCAGTTAGAGCAGCCCATTTTCCCAAATATCTCAGCTAGCTACCTAGTTTTGAAACATTTCTATTTCTGCAGCCACCTGTGATAGACAAGGTGAGATTGAACACAACACTGTGTAGTCTACAGTTTATCAATATTTGATTCTGTTCTTAAAGACTGGCTGGTAACACTGTGCAGTTATGAAAAAACTCTCACTGAAACATCAAAAAGAACAGTTAGTCTTTCTGCATTTCTGGTTGAAAAAAATGAGACCTAAAGATAAACATTTTAAAGCACAAACTAAAAGGACAAAGAAGCAGAACTTCAAGACCATTGGTTGTTGCTTTCTTCTTTTTTTTTTTCTTGTTGAAAGAAAAATGTTAGCAGTGATGAAAAAATTGGAGGCACAACATCCAGATCTATAAAACTCAGGGGCTGTAAAACTGCAAAGCAAAACTGGGAAAAGCTTCAACTCTTCCCATAAGAAATAAGTTCCCCTCCATATAGTCCCAGAACTGAAGGTCAAAAGCAGTTGACATCACATTACAGGTTCATCTGCAAGTCTGCAAACTCTCCCTCACATCCAACCATCTTTTCCCATAAAGGAACTAATGAACATATACACACGAAGACCTTCACCTAATTTTCATATACCTAAATGCAAAATGTTTCAGTTTAAACAGGCTGCCTGGATTAGACAGAAGTTAATTAAAACAATCTCTCATTTTTTACTGTTTAAAACTTAAGCCTTAGTAAAGGAGGAATAAGACAGGACTTTTTATTACTCTTAGATGTTACTAAGAGGGCCTACAAATACATCTCTTCTTCCCGTGATCCCATTCATCTTGCTGCCTTTCCTACTCCTCTTTGCCAACAATCAGATCCCAGTAAACAACCTCAAGTGAAATTTGCAACTGTCAGATAAACATTAAAAATGCTTCTCTTGTCCTTTCCCATTGATAGTCCCATTAATATTGTAGTAGAATAAAAAGTTATGAAAATGAATGCATGCTGGTTTTGGAAGTGAATGATGCAGACAGGAGCTGTGAAATATATGCACTTGAATATGCACAGACAAAGAGATACAGTGTACCCAGAAGTGTGTATTTACTTACACACAGCGTTTTAACATACAGGACTCCTTCCTAACCTTATGCTACTGTACATGGTGAAGTAACTCCACTGACTTTTACCTGCTATAAATTCAACACAGGTAATATTAGAATTAAACCACAGTGGCTTTTTTCTTTCTTCTTTTTTTTTTTTTTCCTCTCCCCAGAAAGAGAGAAATATCAATTCTGTGCAATTTGTCTCTTATTCCTCCCTGCCCTTTTAATAGTCAGAGAATAAAATTATCATAAGATTTTGCCTATTTAGTACTTCCAGGCAATATATAAACCTCTAGCTATTTGCCTACTACTAATTTAAACAAACTTAAGTGGAGGAATATGGGGGGGGGGAAAAAAAGCTGTTAGGCAAAAATGAATTCAAAGACTAATCAGTAAAAATTTCAAAAAAGGAACAACCCAGCTTGCCTCCGTTTCTGCAATAAAATGGTGTTTGCTGTCTTCCATTTGAACCTTCACTGAAATCAACAGATTTGTAAAATGTAAGGTTACAAAATTAAGTCAGGTTGCAATATTATCACCAAACTATCTTAAAATATCATGTAGTATTATTGTCTCCTAAATATATATGTATGTAAATGCATGCATACGTGTTTTCTTATCTGGCTTTTACATTTTCTGAGCTTCTACATTGTATCAGCTCAAGGCTTTCTTTACAGGAAGAAGTTTTGCATGTTTAATAAAATAACTCAACGATACCTCATGGGAAAGTGGGATTTCAGAGCCTAGAGTTCTAGGAATACTCCCATGTAGAGAGGCAGATATGTAGAGATACAGTTGTGCAGGGTAACTCCAAAAAGTCTGAGAAGCCTTACTTGCTCAATCAAGACCATAATTTCCTGAAAACAAAACACGCTGTCATGCTGTTCTAATTCATAATGCACTGAGATTTCACTGGTGGTCTTACAATCCCAGGCTTTATTTTGCAGCTTCTAGTCATCCATTTCTCAGGTCTCTTAAGTGATAAGTTCCCAGAATTCTTTCTTTGAATCTCGTACTTTTCCTACAGATTTTCACTTCCATGTGAGAGTGAAAAGATACCACACAAAGAACATGAAACGGATCTTTCAAACTCATGGTTCTCTATTGCTCAGGTCAATGTGATTCTGCAGAGAAACCATTGCCTAACTGACTTACGCTTATATTAAGCAAAGGTAAAGCAAACAAACAGTTATTAATTTTATAGTCCTTTAACATCTTAGAAGCAGACCATGAACATTCTAGTTGCTAACAATCGTAGAGCACGGTTGATTTTTTTCCTGTTACAAAACATCATTGCAAAAGCAAAATTGGTTTCTGACGTTCTCATCAAAGTCATAAAGAGGTCAGCCAGACTTATCAGATTTCAGCTGTTCTAGCGCCTCTTCAACTGAAATTTGTTTCATTCATTCATTCTGATACACTGATTATGGAAAAATTCCATTGTAGACTTCTGCTATTTTAATCACAGATTACCAAAAAGTAATCATCCTCTGAAATTCATATTAAAATTTCATCTGAGTGGGAGACAAGTTAGGTAAGATGCTAGTCGGATGAAATTAAAAACTCACATAAAAGCATAGCAAACTTTAGCTTAAGGTAGCTGAAAGCAAGGAATTGTACTGAAGTCAAGAAATCTGGATAGTTAAGAGATACATACAAGCGTGGCTTCATTAAAGGCAGGCCTTGCCTGACCAACAAAGTGACCTCCTACAGTAGTGCATAATGGACAAGGTAAGAGCCAGTGTTAACATCTGTCTGGACTTCAGTGAGGCCTTTGACATTGTCCTGCCCAACATTCACCTCTCCAAATTAGAAAGATATGGATTTTATTTTTTTTTAGTGTGTGTGTGTGTGGACTGTTTGACAGATAAGGAACAGGTTGTGAGATTGTACCCAGAGAGTGGTGGTCAATGGCTCCATGTCCAGATGTAGATCAGTGACAAGTATCCCTTAGGAGTCAGTACTGGGACAAACATTCTTTAATATCTTCAACAACTAAATTGTCAGTGGGATCAAGTGCACCCTGAAGTTTGCAGAGGACATCAAACTGTATGGTGAGGTCAACACGGCCGAGGGATGTAATGCCATCTAGATAGATCTAGACAGGCTCAAAGAGTGGGCCCAGGTGAAACTCATGAGGTTCAGCAAATCAAGTGCCAAGTTGTGTACTGGGTCGTGGAAACCCTCACTATCAATACAAACCATGGGACAAAAGGATGGAGCACAGCCCTACTGAAAAAAAACCTGGGGGTAGTGGTGGATAAGAAGCTGGACATGAACCAGCAATATGCTCTCATAGCCCAGAAAGCCAACTGTATCCTGGGCTGCATCAAAAGAAGTGTGATCAGCAGGACGAGGGAGGTAATCTCCCTGCTACTCTATCTACTCCGTGCTGGTGAGATTTCTCCTGGAGTACAGCAAACGCAGAGTCATCAGTAATGGAGAGAGACAGACCTCCATTCAGACGCATTCAGAGAAGGGCCACAAAAATAATCTAAAGGATGGAACATCTCCCCTGTGAGGTCAGGCTGACAGAGTTGAGGCCATCCAGTCTGGAGAAGAGAGGGGAGGGAGACCTGAGAGCAGCCTTTCAGCATCTAAAGTGGGGCTATAAGAAATAAGGGGACGGTTTTTAGCAGGATCTGTTTGACAGAACAAGGGAAAACAGTTTCAAATTAAAATGGGGGGAAGATATAGACTGGATATAAAAAACTGTAATTTACAGCCAAATGACCTTGGGGCTGATAATACACTACACTTCAAGCTAGACCATGATCTTACAAACTTACTGGCTACTTTTCACAAGTCAACTACGGGTACTGCATTTCATCAGCAACATTTACTGCAGTGGTATTTACAAATACAACAAGTTGCCTATTTTTCAAGTTTGTTCACAAAACAATTTTGTTTGAATTTCTTTTTTTATTTGGATTCAAAATAGTTTATATAAACTCTTATATTTATTAATATCAGGTTTGAACACCTGTTTTTCCTCCTGTATGGTTATGTTACTTCATTTCGTATACAGGAATGTTACTATTATCACTAAAATCTTCTTTTCTGGTATGAAGAAAAATTAGCTGCTTACTCTGAGGTCTTGCACACCTACCTGAAAACTAACTATCAACCAGCTTCAGCTACAAAAATTCATTCAAGCAGGGCAGTTTAACTGCCATGGAGCAGAGGATAAAAGAGCTTTCCATTGACTGGCCCTTATGCATTCATTTGGATGGGGGCAGCGGAGTTACAAAGAGTTCCCTTCCTCAAATGACATTTTATGCTTATATAGTGCTGGTACAAGCAAGTAAAAAGAGACAAATAAGGAGCAGTTGCTGATAGGCATGCCTGGGAGTGATTATCATGAGACTCTGTCACGAAGGAACCTCAATGAGCAAAGGATTCACCACGCTTTGTCGTGATGGAAATGCAGCCCACAGCACCAACACAAGATTCAGCATGAATCCAATACTGTTTGCAGTTCAGTTTGAGCCTCAGGGAACAAGTATGATAGAGCAGAGACAGAGCATAGGGCAGAGCTGGAATCCTTCTTTCACTTATCAAAGCATCATCAGAAAGCAAACATCAAGGAAAATAAGCACTATGATGATCCATGTATTAACTTCCTGCCCTCCAAGGTCAGCATTTCTTAAACCATCCAGGACATTAGATTCTCTGCACAGTCTCCAGCCATTTAGAAATGGATGGTAAAGGAAGCTAAAGCTCTAATGGGATGAAGTGTCAAAGAGAGCTTTTTATTTAAAGAAGTAGAGA